AGGAGAAAAATCTAGGCGTAAATCAAAACAGTTAGGACTGCATTTAAAGAGGGAACAATTAAAGGCTCACATTTACCTCCGCAAACAGAACAAGTAAGCGCACGTCTCAATCAATAGTTTCAGGTATTTAAGAGAAAAACTTAGAGCATGACATCTAGGCGAGCATAGAATATGTAGTACTGAATTTGTACCAAAGTGTCAAAGACCTATTCAGCTTGCCCACTGATTTTTAGACATGTTGATTATGAGCAATCAAAGATAATAGAACATAATTTTACATTTGCAGGACTCTTAATCGTCCTATAGGCTTGCCTAGGCGCGTAATAGCGATATCCTAGGAGCATGATATCTATTATTGATTAAGAATGCAACGAAACAACAAATATTTTTTTTTGTTTTTTAACGGCAGTTTAGATCCTATAGGCATGTTCTCTAGTAATATTAATTGAGGCAGCGTTGGAAACTTATTAAAGGAGAGGACAGATTAATTAACTAAACCGATTCAGAATAACCATGAATTAAACTGATTTTCTAACCAAACTGGTTTTAAGTCCTATAGGCATGGTTTTTAATCAAACATAATATGAAGCAAACATAATTCATTTGACCAAAGTGAAACCCCCTATGGGCATGATTTCTATTAAAGTTGATTTTAACTCCTATGGCATGGTACCTAATTATTAAAAGTTGATTCAGATCCTATAGGCATGACTTCTAATTATTAAAAGCTGATTTAGATACTATAGCCATGGCTTCTAATTGTGTGGAAGTAAAGCAAATAAAACTTATTTAAACCAAAGCAGATCCTATAGGCATGTTATCTAACAAACACATTTGAATCAACATGGACCCTATAGGCATGGTATCTAACCAATTTTACCCACAATATACAACTACCCTCCCTTTTTCACTAATCACCCCACTGTTTGTTTATAATTAATTATTATAGACCAAGAATTGAATAAACTACATAAACAGAACAGAAATTAAGCTATAGGGAGCCTAAAGTAGGCCCAAAATGATTTCCAAGCCTCCAGTAGTCTCAAATGCCCAATAGTTCCATAACCAATTTTATGTCTAGGTGTGTCAGAGTTCCCTAAGGACCTCAAGGATCCCGGGCAGTGCTCACACCTAGACCTTTCTCAAATAATAACTGATTATTGTGCAGTGTGGAAGTGTCAACCCTGATATGCCAGAGTTCAAAGAGATCTCAAGGGTATCTAAGTAGTACACATACCAGAGGGGCAGGACCTAGTAATCAAGAGTTAAGCAAATAAGGTAAAGCAATCAACAATCAGTAATCAAGGAATTTCAAAATCAATTACACGAAGATTCAGCATAGTTTTCTCCCTTAATTAAGGAAAAATCAACCAACGGTAATGACAGGGACTAAATAAAGTAACAGGTTCAATCATACCAAGTAAAGAAGTAATAATGAGAGATCTTATTAAGGAAAGGAGTTCAAATTAAATAAAGAACTTCAAAATAGAGAGTCAAAAGTTTAATTAAGGAAAGGAATCATGCAAAGAGTCAGCAAGTATCGCAGACAATTTCGAATAAGGCAAGAAAGGAATAGTCAGGAAACATATTGATAAATCGAGAATCCAAATTAATATTGATTTAAGGGTGAAAATATAAGTTTACCATAAATAGGCAAAAAAATGAATATAGACACATATAATCAGTGGAAAAGTCAAACCAAAAACCTTAGTAAAGGCACATTAGGATAAACATCACGAGATATCGAATTAGACTAAAGAAAAAAATCACAAGAACTAAAGCAAGGACAAAGTCAGCACACAAGTAACTCAGAAACCAAACAAAAATGTCAAAAATTAGGCTTTTAGTATAAATGAGTTAAGGTTAGAGCAAACCCTACAAAATCAGTCAAGACATAAGAAGCAGAAGATCAAACACTCAAAACTATCAAACATTTTTAGAAAAGAAATTTTCGGGAAACCCTAGTTTAGGAAAATGGAAAACCATTCAAAAATAGAAGGTTTTTTGTAAATAAATCATATGAAATAGGTCCACACATCTCAGGTTTGTACAGATCTAGGAAGTTCAGAAGGAAGAATTTAGGGTTTTCGATAAGAAGAACATAGCGGTGAAGAAGCAAACTTAGAAACCCATAGATCTAAGGCGATGTAAGAAGATCTTACTCGGAATCAAACCGGAGTGGCCTGAAACAGACGAGAAAGGCCATAGATGCAAGTAGACTAACCCTAGTCCCTTGAGGACCCTGTAGATGGTGATACCAATACAAGGAAAACCATTAGAGGCCTGGGAGTGGTGAGAAACCACCATGGGTGGCCATAGATGAGTGACGGCAAGGTCCGATTAGGGTTTAAACTTGAGAGAATTTGAGAGATAAGAGGATTAGGTGACGGCGGGGAGGTGAGGGAAATGAGAGGGTTTTAGGGGGGGTCATTAGGTTTAATTTAGGAAGGGGAAAACCTGGACCGTTGATCAAAACGATCAATGATCAGGATTTGACGGGGTATTGGGTTGAGGCAGATGGGTATTGGGCCTGGGGTTTCTGGGCTGGTTTAAGGGGTTAAAAATTAGGCTAGTATTGGGTTGGTTTGGGTAGCTTTAGATCCGAAATTAAATAAAAATGGAGCTAGATTTTAAATACCCATTTTAATTAATAAAATAATTTGTAAAATGTCAAATAAAATAGTAAAAATATTATCTGTGCATAAAAAATGGTTAACAACAATTATTTAACATTGTAAAAATATAAAATTTATTTTTTGCATGAATATGACAATTATAAGTATATATGGACTATTGTTGCAAATGTAAAATTCTAGCCTTTAAAAATGAAAATGTATTTATGATAAATATGTTAAAGTATTTAAAACCTAATTTGGGTGTAAATGATGAAATTAAATGATAAGAAAATAATTTGTGATGCAATTAACGAATATTTATATAGTAAAATATAGGAATAAATTGATTTAAAACTCCTTTAAATTATAGAAAATTATAAAAAAAGCTTGTATATGTCTTAAAACCAAGTGATGATGCATATGCACTATTTTGGAAGTATATATACATATTTAAAAAATATAGGGGGGAAATTGGGTATCAACACTTACAAAATGATTGGAGTCCTCTTTTATATAGGAGGAGAAAGCCCCAATATAGTACATTCTTAATTGTAGTAAAGAATTCTATTGGTACAAGTGTACAATAACCTAGTACGGACCCGTACCATTTCGTACAAATCTTATCTCTTAATTTATGCCCTAACCCACGTGTCCTTGAGAAATCCTCGCTCTTTCTTGAGTGCCCTCGAGATCGCACTGTCCTCGATATAGGTCGCGCCAGATCTTCGATATGCTTCCTCGAGGTGTATGTGCTCCACCCGGGTCTGACCTATACCTCGAGTTGCCCGAACTCGGACTCATAGACCAATTTAAGACTTTGAAATCGGGCTCCTTGATTTTGACCGTATACAGATGGCCAGAGTATAGATCATCAACTACTCTACCACTGCATAAAAGAAACTACACAAAGATAAAGAAAAGATAATCACACAAGTACAAAGATATTAATCAAGTTGTGACTCAAAGAATAAAGTCTATAGAAGATTAATTATTCAAAACAATAAATCTAAATTATACGAAAGGAAACATATTCAATACATTGTAGTTTGCTACTCATAATCATTAGAATACTTTGTGTCTTGCCGGTGAATATACTAGAAATAACTTAGTTTCAGTAGGAATAGCATAACAAGTTTGGGAATTAGGATTTTGATCTTAATTACTTGTTGGCTTGTAACCATTTTCATAATTCCAAAACCAAAGGAAAAAGTTAGTAGTTTGTTATTTTTAAACTTAATATATAAATATATTTTTCATATGTAAATTTATTCGATACGGTTCGGTACCCTACTTATCAGTACAATTATATTTATATAATAACCTATGATTTTATTAAAAAAATCTAAAAATTGGTTCGGTGTGGTACGGTTTAGTCGGTTTTTAAATATCCATTGGCACCCCTACCCTCGGCTCAAGAAATGGTGGAAAAGAAGAAAAAGGAAGAATAACAAGGAGGATGGGGAAGAAAGAAAGAAGAGGGAGACAAAAGATGATAAGGAAAAGGGGGAGAAAAAGTAGCATCAAATAGTAACAATCAGGGAGCAACAATTTCCATTAAAATAGAAGAAAAAGTAGCATCAAATAGTAACAATCTGGGAGCAACAATTTCCAGTAGCATTTTTTAAAACATAATGGACGTGGTTGCTAAGTAACATATATGCTAACAAACTACAAGAAAGTATCTTTCAACCAACAACAAGAATATTACTAGTACTATTAGCAAACCTAGGAGAAACTCACAACTACCTGTCAACCCACTACCTTAATACTCGACCTCCACACCTTCCTATCGCTAGTCATGTCCTCGGTTAGGTGAACCATCGTCATGTCTTGCCTAATCATCTCTCCCTAATACTTCTTTGGCCTACCCCTGCCCTTCCTCACGCCCGCCATGGTCAACCCATCACACCTCCTAAGCGGGACATCTATGTCTCTCCTCCTCACATGCCCAAACCATCGCTTCGATTCCCACAACTTATCTTCCACGGATGTCACTCCCACCCTGTCCCTAATAACTTCATTCCTAATCTTTATCTTTCTTGGTATGTCCACACGACGTGCCACACCTCAGCTCCATACAACATAGCTGGTCTAACCACCACCCTATAGAATTTGCCCTTAAGTCTAGGCGGTACATTCTTATCGCATAAAACCCCCCAAAACTAGCCTCCATCTATCCAACCCGGTGGAATTTGCCCCAAAAGTTTATATTTCAATTAATTAAAGATTAGATGTGCTTGATCAAAAATCACAAATACTAAAGTTAATTTTTATCAATAGTTGAGGGACCAAAAATGCTATTAACCCTTGTAAATAATTCCATTGAATGCCCCAATCCGTAGGAAAAACCCAAAACAAGCTTTATTTTACAATCAAGTAAAGTAAGTTACAAAAAGAGTATATACATCGACGTGCACAAACGCTCCAAATTTATACTTACATTGTCGATTTTTTTCTTTACCAAATTGCACAAACGAGAAAGCAGAATGAAAGCGCCGAGGAGGCCGATCCACGCCGTATCAACATGGGTTCGACGGCAACCGCCAAAGGTGAAGGCTTTTCTGGCGGTGGTCGCCGGCATGGCGGCGTTAGTGCTGCTACGCGCCATTGTCCACGATCACGACAACCTTTTCGTGGCTGCCGAAGCTGTTCACGCCATCGGAATCTCCGTTCTTATCTATAAGCTCACGAAAGAAAAAACTTGTGCTGGTAATAACAACCCTACCATTGTATATTCAAAAAGTTTTCCTTTTTATTTATTGTAAACATGGGAAGCAGAAAAGGGTGCTTCTTAAAAAAAAAAGAATTTCAAAAGATCTGGTTGTTCTTGTGTGGTTCCAGATATAGATGATGTTATAACTTAATGATTATTTTACTTTTATTAATTGTAGTTTCTGGGTTGAAATTAAGAACCTTTTTTGGACAAAGACACTAATTTTATCAAATAGGGAATTTTGTAGTGTTTTATAAACTTTTTTAATGTAATATTAGATGGTTAGAGTTAAGGTCTATGACTATTGCTGAATTTTAGGGGTTTAATTTTCTTGGTTTGCATTGAAATTTAATGGAATAAACGAGGACATTGTTTTTCTTGTTTAATCCTACCATGGGTCATATTCACCTTATGAGTTGTTAATTGCAGAGTATGTTATGTTTGCTTATGTTAACTAGTCAATTTATAGGTTGTTGTAAATTTGAAGAGGTTGTGATTGGGATGGGGATGAAGGAGAGCACATCTTGTTAATTTTAGTCCTATACTATGGTCTTTATGATCAAGAAAGAGGGGTTCTAGTTGTATTGGATAATATTGATTTTGTTGACATTTTGATGTTATGAATGTGACCAATTAATTTTGTGGTACCACCTTCATAGTTGGACTATGCAAAAAAGTGTCCCCTATACCTATGTTAGCATTTGTCCTTTTCATGTCTATTGCTAAAGTATGTGCCACCATTGGATGTTGGATGAAGCAGCTACGTAAGTCATGAATCATTTGTATTTGTATGGAAACATGAGAAGTATTGGAGATTGTTTTTACCTCAGCTGCCTTAGCGGCTAGTGCACCGGCAGTATGGCATCTTTTTGTTGTTAGAGTAGAAGGTGTAGAAATGATCGATTAATTCTTCTCAGACGATTGTGTCCTCCACTCCTCCATATCCTTTTCTAAATCAACACAGTGCTGGTGAAGATAAGGTCGAGCATTTGCTTTCTGGTTCTTTGGTAGTGACAGTCTCTTAGGATGAGATTCCTAAAGCATTTTTTCCCCTTAAAGAAGCACAAATACCTGTACGGGTTTACTTGCCTGCTGCTTATTTACCTAATTACACTTACACACCTTTGGGCATCAATCAATCAACCAATTAGCTATGCCTCAACCCAAACTAGTCGGGTTGGTTATATGAATCCTTTGTATCCATTCATGCCCATTTCATTCCAACTCTAAAAAATCCATATTTTATGGCAAATTAAGCGTTCTTTAGAGCTAGAGGTTCTCTAAATCTCATACTTATTAGTTATATCCCTACATGAACATTCAAGTGTCTTACCAGAATAGAAGATCGGATATTTGTAAAATTAACGACATCAACTCTTAACCTCAATTAGTGGGATATGTGGATCCTTTGCTTCTGTTATATTATGTTCTTAGCTAAATCCGTATTGATTTTTTATTGTATTCCCTTTGAGACAAGTTCTCTCCATGAGATTTTGGGTCTACCATGTTATTTCACTTTTAATTATCATAGTGTTGACCCTAAGAACTAGTTCATAAGGATGTTACATAGGACATGACTAAATGATCTTAGTTGACCTTTTCACATTTTATTATTTTCATGTTATTTGGTTCCCTTTCGAATATGATTATTTATGTCTTGTCCAATCTTTTGTAATTGTTCGTCAATCTTAATATCGACATTTCTGCAACATTCATTTTATGAATATTTTGGGTCTAGAAGCAAAACATTTGTTCCCATGTGACATTTGCTCGTGCCATTCTATAAATTTTGTTTAGGTCTCTTCCTACCCCATAAAGCTCTTGTAACATTCATCTATTCAACCATCTTATTTTAATTCCATTTCATTTTCTTGGAAGACTGAACTCAAGTAAGTGAATTCTCTACATTAGGGACAACAATCTTGTCTAAACTAATTCATAGTCAATCTTCTATGGGGGCTAAATTTGGCCTCTGGATATAACCCCAAAATTCATTCTGATGTATGGCGAAATCAATAGTGAGAGTATCTTTTCATGTTTTCCATTCTTTGAAGTCATGTGTCCATGTTAATTTACACATAAGACAGCATTTGTCTTTTTGTTATTTTTAAATATTGTTCTATATTCTTTTGTGATCTTTTAATTATAGTTTTTGATTTTTTTCTCTATCATGTTTCTAGCCTTAGAAAATGGAATTATTCTTCTTAAAATAGGAATCTATCTCTCAGTTTTATCCCGAGTCAATCCCATCCTAGGTTTTTTTGATTGCCTTGTCAGTCTTTGTTTGTCTTTTATGTTCCACTGATTATTTGTAACTCTCATTTTATACTATTGCAGGGCTTTCACTCAAATCCCAGGAGCTCACTGCTATGTTTTTGGCGGTCAGATTGTATTGTAGTTTCGTAATGGAATATGATATACACACCTTACTTGATTTAGCTACATTGGCTACAACCTTGTGGGTTATCTATATGATCCGTTTTAATCTTAAATCAAGTTACATGGAGGACAAAGACAATTGTGCAATTTATTATGTGGTAAGTCTTCAAACAGCCTCACTTATGTATGTGGTTATACAGAGTCTAGACTAGGGACGTCACGGTACCAGCGTGATGCTGCTTTCTAATATGATCTTACCAGCGGAGGACGCTCAAGACAATACTTTATATGCCTCTTCAAACAGCCTCACTTATGTATGTGATCTTACTGATAAATGATAAAGATAGAGATAACTAGGAATTTGATTCAAAAAGATCCATCTGCGCTGATATCTCTCCGTTTTCTTGTGATTTGTACTAAAGCAGGTTTGTAAGATGATGAAGTTTGTTCAGTTTAGTAGAATGCATTTGAGTAGATCTGAAGGTTAAAGGAAAGGAGTTCCATTCTCACTATTCTATGATTTATAATTTACGTCAAGCTATATCAAACTCCAACCAGAAATAATCTCATATTTTTGGCTTTATCCAACAAAAAAAAAGTGATCTAAAATATTTGGCTTTTATAAAAAGAAGATCTGAAATATTTGGAAACTTGAGAATATTTATTAGTTTTAGTAATGGTACGTGAGGGGAAATGACAAGAAACCTCTATTTCTTCATAACTGTAGAAGCTTCCCTTCAGTTCCACATATCTTTTGCAATTTGGGAAATGTCAAATATCTTTATCCATGCAAGTCACTACGAATTATATCATCCTCTCTTTTAGTTTATAAATTTTGGTTGCATGACTCTTTGCGACACACGCTGTATGGAGATTTTCGCTGGCTTTCTGTAATAAGTATTTTTTCGCACACTTTTGTGCAGGCGATCCCTTGTGCTGCCTTAGCCCTACTGATTCACCCATCAACATCACATCATTTCATCAACAGAATCTTCTGGGCTTTCTGTGTTTACTTGGAAGCAGTTTCCGTGCTACCTCAACTTCGTGTCATGCAAAACACTAAGGTATAATTACTGGTCATTGTTGATAAACTGCAAATTTGCTTTCTTGAAACTTTTGTTCTGGCTTGGGAGTTTGGTTAAGACGTTTTTGAAAGCTTTGATAACCTACTTGTTATATTGTATACAGATAGTTGAACCATTCACAGCTCATTATGTATTTGCATTGGGTATTGCAAGGTTCTTAAGCTGCGCTCATTGGGTTCTCCAGGTTTGATTTGCAAAATTCTGATGACACATATCACATAAATTTCATTGGCAAGCTTTTCTTTCCTTCATATTTGGTGTAGATGCAGTATCTGTTTAGTAGAAGCTTTTCGTCGTTCTACTTTATGATTCAAACTAGCATAGATTTGAATAGTCTTCTAGTTGAAGAAAAAATGAGAGCTTGTACGGTGCTTTGTTTAATCATTTTTTTGTCCTAGTTCTTAAGTGCCTTATGGTGCCTTTCTACGGGACACTTCCCTTAGTTTGGTTTGGGCACAAAATCAGGTTGCGAACCAAGTACTGACTATAATACATTCTATAAAATTGATGAAGGATTTTAAATTGGTTGGACAAGTTTCATATAGGAGGATTTTGTTCATTGGCATAAGTTTATGATTAGAGATTGAGGGATATTGTCATTCTTTTAAATCCATTTTTGCATGCATTCTATTTAATTCTACTAACCTTCTGAGTTTCTCTTGGCCTGACGACAGGTTTTGGACAGTCGTGGCCATCTGCTAGTAGCATTGGGTCACGGTCTATGGCCTTCTATGGTTCTTATATCTGAAATTGTTCAAACCTTCATCTTAGCAGACTTCTGTTACTACTATGTTAAAAGGTTGAATAAGCTTCACATTTCCATCTGTTTATTGAATACCGGCATCCATGCCTGCCTTGCTTTTTACAATGCTCTATTGATCATGGTCTTCTCATTTTGTTAATGTATTGCAGTGTTTTCGGAGGACAGCTGGTTTTGCGCCTTCCTTCTGGGGTCGTGTAACTGACGTTTGTGCTAAGTGACGGACAAGGTTCTCGTCCCCTTCTTGCCTTGCATTTGCCTTTTCTTCTTTTTTTGTATCTACGCAGACCAACTTGGTCTAGGTTCTCCGGTGGCAAGACCAAGACTGGATGTTATGTAAAGCTAGCCCTTTCTAAATGTAGTAGTTGATTTTCTGGCAATCATAGTTAAAATTTTTCTGTGAGCTCTAATTTTACAGCTTCAGAAAGGTACACTTGTAGTTCTCATGAATTAAATTGAATGATTAATGATGCTGATTTTGACATAAGGTATAGTGCCTGTTTGATGACAATATTAACAACTTGGTTCTTTTCACTTCCAACCCAAAAAATCCCATAGCTATAATACATATTCAATAGCAAATATGAAAAGCTTTCAAAGGAGATGTCGAACCAGGAATGGTCGTTACTGGACACTCACCATTTTTCACCGGTTAGAGGCCCTCTTTAATACATTAGGAAAAGACGCCCACAGGGGCTAGAAAGACTGATCATAAGAATTTAGAGCACCTACGTGCTGGTAAACGAAAACCACCTTGATCGGATTAGAATAAACAACAATGTCATATCAGGCTGCCCTTTACATTAAAAGATACAACAATGTCATATCAGGCTGCCCTTTACAGATATGACTGCCCTTTACATTAAAAGATACAACAATGTCATATCAGGCTGCCCTTTACATTAAAAGATACAACAATGTCATATCAGGCTGCCCTTTACATTAAAAGAATTCACACGCGGCCACCAGCTTTCCCAAATGCCATTGAATGGCTTGGCAATTGGGCAAAGTATAGATTTGTCATTTAGTCCTCTATCAATATATCAACGGTAGTGGTCCTTTTTGCTAGGATAGTATACCTAACTCCTTCTGTAGAAAGCTAAAAAATTCTCTAGGTTCAATCTCATATTGCACTAGTATGAAGGTTTGGCTCTAATACCTTTAATTACGAGTTGATGCATAGTGACATCTTTTTAGACTGGTCCTAAAGTATCACCGAATTGTGGAATATAAGGACCATTTTTATTAATCAGATTCTAGATAAACCAAGACAGTTTACCATTGTTGAGGAAAGAAGAAAAATAGAAGAATATGAGATGAACAAAGAGATGAGAAGAATACATATGTTAGTTAAAAAATACTGTCAGCCGATGGCCTATCGGAAACAACCTCTCTATCGTCATAAGGTAGAGGTAAGGTCTGTGTACACGTTACCCCTAGGCCTCACTTGTGGGATTACACTGCGTATGTTGTTGTTGTATGTTAGTCAATGACACGCAGACGTATGATATGGGGAGTATCATAAAAGATCTGATGTGTTAGCAAACGGAACCGTTAGCACGAAATATCCGAAAATAGATAGATATAAATAATAGACGTAGTAGTTCAAAGATTTATGACAAAGAAGTATAAATATGTATATACTAAGAAAATGAAAAGCTAACAAGTGATTTGCGTCGCAAGAAGTGGGTAGGAGAGTACTCATAAGGCGTAAAATTCAAGTAAATTTATTCATATACTTTTAGATAATAGAAATAGTAGTTCAAATAGAAGTATATTTGTATGTATGCTAAGAAGATGCATGGTAGAAATATTTCCAGTAGTTTTAGTTATTCAAACATAAGTTAAGGGTGTCTAACGGGCCGGGTTGACCCGTAACCGGACCGGCCCAGACCGGAAAAAACCGGAACCGGACCGGCCCGGTACATAGGGGCTGGGTGGGGCTGGTTAGGAGGGGTAGAGGGGGTTGGTCCGTTTATTTTTTTTTAACGGTTAACCGGACCGGTCAAACCCGGTTCACGTGAACAATACCGTGTACCGATTTAACCGGCCCGGACCGGACTGGTACAACGGCTAAATCTTTTTTTTTTTTGTTTTTTTTTAATTTTTTGAAATCTGTGGGGCCCACTAACCGTTGGCAACAATCACCCCTGGCAGGGATCCGTTGCTTAACACCCTTAATTGCATTAATAGCCTCTTTTTTCTTTAAAATTTAACCTTTTTTCAAAACCTTCTCTAAAACTATAAATACCCCCCTCCTCTTCCTCATTTCTTCACTCATCTCTCAATTCTCATTTCTCAATCTCAATTCTCAAATCTCAATTCAAGTTAAATCATGCCTCGTACTTCTAGAGTGCGCTCATATGTTTGGCAATACTTTGAGGTGGTAGAAGAAAATGAAGAAGGTCAGAAAGTAAAGTGCAAGAATTGTGGTCAAGTCTTAAATCTTCGTTCAGGGTCTGGCACAAGCAGTTTAAGGAGGCATATAAAGTATTGTCTTGAGCGTCCTCCGGAAATTCGTATTTAAGATTTTAAGACAATTTGTGTTATTTTAAAATTATTAGACGTATTTATGCTTAATGTTTTAGTTTGTTAGACTAATATGAAGTATTATTAATTTATTATGCATGAAAATTTAGTTTTACTATTTTTTTGTTAATTTACTTTTTAAATGCAAACTTTAATTTTGTAATTTTGAAATAAATGTAGCACTTACAATTTATAAGTGCAATTTTTTCCCATCTTCCTTGTATTCTTTATGTTAATACTTTGTATTAATATAACTTACAATAGTTATACAAAAAAAAATAAATTAAAAAATACACTAAACCCGGCCCGGCCCCCTCAACCCGTAATACTTACGGTTTAATTTTTACCTAGATGAACCCGAACCCGTTAAACCCGGTAAGCCTCAACCCGTAACCGGCCCGGACCATAACCTGTACCGGCCCAAAAAATTCCAACCCAGCCCGGCCCACCCGTTTAACACCCTTAACATAAGTACAAATAAGGAGGCATATAGAAAATACAATACGATAATCTATACTATATTAAAAGCATGAAGACCCTTAGCGAAATGTCGTTCGCCTTTTTTACCCTCTAAAACTTGATTTCGTACTAGACAAATTAGTCATTTCATTATTTCTCCTAATTTTTTAGGACTTTAAAATCACCTAAAATTTTTCTTATTATATCTTTCCTTAATTCGTTTTTGAAGTATATATGTAAAAAGTCATAATATTTGGCAACATATAACACATTAATTATCAACCTCACGTGAGTAATTTTTCATCCAAAGAAAAGCTACATTTCCATTGTTAGATATCCTTCGACAAATATAAAGTATAAAAAAAATCAAGAAAAATAATTTTACACTCAAAATAATTGTTTAATTATTTTTCTAACTTTTAGGACGTTAAAATTAGCTGAAATTTTACTTATTATATTTTTTTTATTTGAACTATGTAAAAGTCTTAATATATAGAATTATATGATGTGCAATATATTTATTAAATCAAAACTAACGTGAGTATTTGCCATTCAAAGCAAAGCTAAACTTCCATTGTGATATCCTTCCATTGTGATATNGTTAAAATTAGTTGAAATTTTACTTATTATATTTTTTTTATTTGAACTATGTAAAAGTCTTAATATATAGAATTATATGATGTGTAATATATTTATTAAATCAAAACTAACGTGAGTATTTGCCATTCAAAGCAAAGCTAAACTTCCATTGTGATATCCTTCCATTGTGATATTACCATGGTTTCAGCTATCGTTTCTCTTTTACTATAATTCAAGGGTCTAAAAAAATAACTTTATCAATTAAAATTTGAATGATTATAATAAAATAACAATAAACATTGGTTTTCTACCTTATTTTTTGTGACCTTTATTTTATATGACCATTCGATTAAAATTTTCGTATGATAACCTACATACGAAGTCTTTTTTTTTTGTTTTTCTTTTTATAACCATTCTAATAAATGACAGCTTCCTATATTTACATTATTTTTTATAAAGTATTAACTCTAATATTATAATATTTTTTTAAGATTTTATATTATTATTTATTTATCGAGCTAACGGGCTAAAAATGATCAATGTTCATCATATTTAAGAACTTATACTTTTTATTTTATTTTATTCAATAACTCACATTATTTAATATTTTTCGTATTTTTAAAAAAAAATATATTCATTGATATAGGGTACACGCGCAAAGCGCATACCCTAATACTAGTTACCAAAAAAAAAAGGACTCACAAAAAAGGATTGTTAATTTTCTGATGAATCTTTTCCCGTCTGAGTGTCAGATCGTCTTCTGATCAGGAATCTTTTTCTGTCTGAGTATTAAATTTTTTGATTAGGAAATAATCACATACAAGAAAATACCAACAGTTTAATTATTGAAAAACACAAGAACAATATTGAGTTGATATTAGAATAGAATTCTATTTTGGAGTTCAATGTTGGCAGACTCTACTTTTCTTTTCGGGCCCGTTCCGCTCCATATTCAAAGTTTCAAATCAATCACTTAACAGAAAGGTCCAAAGGACACGAGCTGAGAGCGAGTCAAATTTTGAATTTTTGAGTGTATTATTTCATGCAAATGGATGCTAATTCCTTCATTCTGTCCAAATCCCAAGCAATACCAGTCAAGCTTTCTCATTTTCCAAATTAGAGGGCTAAGAATTACAGTAACTTCGACCAGAGATTATCTAAGGTCGTTGTCGAGTCATAAGTACTCCTTCATCCTTAACCAGAAGTCTCGATTTCTAGAGCAGATCGAGCAAGCTTGAATTGATATTACATGAATATCATATTGTTCGAGGAATCCTAGATGTTGTCGGAGTATAGGATCATCAACTAGGCTGTTCTAATGAAATGTAGATTCTTATCCAAGACTTATATCATTTCATGATGCCATGTGAATCACTAGAAACAATGTAATTGAAAATAACCAACTAGGTTTACGACAAAACCTAGAAATCGATCACTGATCCAATTTAAGTATGACTGCAGGATAGACCTCAACAGAAAACTAAAGAGTAAGAGCAACTAGTGATTGAGTTCGTTAGTTTTTCATATAAAATTATTAACTTTAAAGATATAGTAAAAACTGGGTACAAAGTCGCTTATATTAAAAAACGCTTTATCCTTTAATGTGGAACTTAACGACACAAATTCGAATTTAATTAAATCCCAATACGAATACGTGACAATCAACTTCAACAAAGATTGGACATGATATGTCTGGGAAGATGTTCCCTACAAAAAAAAAAAAAAAAAAAAAAAGAAAGAAAGAAAGAAAGAAAGAGTCCACTAGGTCACAATATCTTGAAGTCATAAATGCTTTAAACTGCAATGCATGTGTCCAAATTTATGAAAAATGTGAATATGTGATATTTTACACTATATATGGACTCCAAGACTATAATACTAATTCACGACATCTCTCCCACTTTATCAGCTTCCCATTTA